CGATTCCGATGGTGTGGTCGCCGGTCGATTCTGGAACTCCGGCGGCGGCGGCGGTGGCCGGAGGCGGCGACGGACTGGCCGGAAAGAAGCGGCGGCGACGGTGGAGAGATCTGACTACACGGTGCTGACTGTGGCACAGATTTAAGAGAAAAAAGAAAGAGAGAAGGGTTGCCCACTGAAATTTTAGGGGCTGCCGGCGGCCATGGCGGCTAGCCGCCGGCAGACAGCAGAGACACCAGAAGAAGATCAGAGAACCTGCTCTGATACCATATTAGAAAGTGGGTTTTAAGCCTAACTCAACCCCACAAAACCGGCTTGTAGGGTGAGGTTTGCACCTCACTTATATATTATAAATTGGCCTTATCTCTAGTCGATGTGGGACTTCCAACAACTGGCATACCATCAAATGCAGACATTAGTAGATTCTTGTGCTCAAGAAATTGCATATTCAAGTACACTAGTTATTTTACTCAAGTATCTAGGAAGTTGCACCTGTTAACACTTTAGCCTAGAAAATCGCCAATTAAACTGTTAAGAGCGTGTGAGAGAGAGTGTGCAAGCTCGTGTGTGTATTAAGCATAAAAACCAACTAAATGAGAATGTTTTTTCACTCAGAATTTCTCCCTAATATATTCTCTTTATCATTTAGTAATTTCATCTTAAATTTCTTCTACAGAATATTCTCTTCATCTTACCCACTACACTTATTAGCACCCCTATATGAAAACATAATATGAAGGGTTAAATACCTATTTAGGATCAATAGCTTCAATGATATATCAAAATAATCCAAAATGTGAGTAACATTATACTTGAAAAACAGATAAATATATGAATATATGTATTAGAAACAAACCTTAACATTAGAACCTTTAATGTCAGGTGCATGCTTCATATATGATGATTTTGAAATCCCTTCAATGAAACTTGCACCTCTGGTACTGGTTGAGGCCTTATTAACTGAGGCACTGGATGCATCAGTCATAGCAACATCGTGATCAGAAGGAGAAGCTGGCCCATTTTCCTTAGAAGAAGTCCGTTCAGAAATATATTCCAAAGCAGCAACAATGTTTTGTTGAAGCCAATCATGAACTTGAGCAGCAGGAACAGGAACAGCAGGCATGTCAGGGTCTGAATTTGCAAAAAAGGGAGAAAATTGACTGAAAGAATTTCCTTCAGATCCCTTGTCACCAAACTGAATTAGAAACCCAAGGTGCTCAAAACTATCCATGGTTAAAACCTATCAATTAAGCAAAAGAATATCAAGATAATAAACTAAAAAAACACAAATTTGATTCAATAAAAAATAAATTGCTGTAATGAAACATTTAATCAAAGACAAGTTAAAAAAGGTTCAAAAATTCCTATATCTTTCCATCCAGTAACAAACTAGATGATCTTAGGCTACAGAGTCAATTATACTTGGGAGGGAAAAACTTAGAAATGCACCACTTCCTAAAACTACCACGTCCTAATTAAAAGGTGGTAGCATTTAACCATGTGATAATCAATGCCTCGGCAAGCAAAAGAAATTGAATGTTGCTGTCACTCTAACTCTAGCATATCCTTTAATTGTTATGATTACTAATTGCTAATGACAGCCAAACACACGAGGATATATACATTGCCACATGCATATACAATAAGAAGTGCACAGAAGTGACGGGACTGGCATTAAAATCAAGATAAGTTGGATTTGCATTAACTAGAAAGAGAAGATGCTGGCATCCTAAACAAATTAAAAAATAAGTTGTGCCAATAACAAACAAGAACAAAGAAATGGCCAGCAACCAGCTTGCCAGTTTTTATCCCTCACCTCAAAACAAACAAATAAAAAAACGGTTGATTTTTTGTCTGTAGAGATTGAACAATCATGCTAACTCTATACTGTATGATGCATGACATGTGTATGAATAGACCAATTCAATTTCACTCATTATTAGTACAAATTGTCAGTCAGCATTTCCCTGACTCAGTGGACCAAAACTCAATTAGAAGATCACAACCCTGGCAACTCTAGAAGACAAAAACAAGTCAATGATAAATTTGTATCTATATGAGTCATAAAAAATAGTATGGATCGCATGCAAGAATTTCAACCAGCATAGAGGCACTTGCACAATATTCTTATGTTACATGAAACCCTGCATGGCCTAATAAATCAAACAAAAGTGAGACAAACTACGGAATCGGTTTTTCTGCTCTCCATGAGGATATTGCAATGCTCACAATACATCACAAAAACAGAGTAACTAGTTGCAATCATACAGGATAGTGGCACAGGGGGGAGGTTACTTATCTACTACAAAACTCTTAGTAGCTGATGTCTTCAGAGCATATGCTCCAAATATCAGGTTCAGGGTTCACACAAAATTAATAGCAATGAGAAAACAATGTAGTAATATGATTAAGTAAATAATAAATAATATCATTCTACAGGAGCTAAGCAACAGCTGGTCACAAGAACAAGCATACAACAAGTGATGCAAAACTACTTTCCATGGCATTCAAGAATATCTCTTTTTTTGGTTTGCAAGGAAAATAGCCAACAACACTATTTCAATTACAAGAATATATCCCACAGATGAAAATAAAATAAAAACAAAACAAAGGAGAATAAACACACAATGCAGTTATAAACCAAGTATTGAATTAAGAAAATCAGAAATAATGAATAGCATTCAAAATCAGTAACAACCAATAATACAGCAAATTAACAAACCAGAGATTCTTCGCCTTCTCCATCCACAGGCTCTGCTAGAAGAGACAGAATGTTAGCCAAGTGTTTTTGCAGATATGACAATTGATGCGCCTCTTCATCAGTCTGAGATGGCAAAAACCGCCGACTGTTGCTACGAACAAGCTGCAAAACACTTAACATCAGAATCAACACATTGCGTACCAAATCAACGACAGAATAACTCAACAAAATTATCAGCAGTTTAATACAGTAATCAAAAAGAAATTAATCATAAAGAACGAAACAGCAACGAACACCTGCTAACAAAACTAATCCAAGGCTTCAAATGTGAGAGTCACCACCACAAAATTAACCCTACATTATGGTAACTAAACAACGAATTGGTCCGGAACAGTACCGTCGTATCTAATAGCGCCGAATAACAAATCGAATTACCTCACAAAAAAGGGAAGAAACGAAGGAAAACGTAGAATTCACCTGAAGCGGCGAGAGGGCGGACAAGTAGCCATCGAAAGCGGAAGTGGAAGGCCAGACATCGACGACGGCAGCAGAGTCCTTGTGCGTCCGCGGGAGGAGCCTCTTGAAGGATTGAATGTAGAGAAAAAGTACCAGATCATGCACGTCGACGCCGACGGAATCGGCTTCGCCGAGTTTTGCGGCGACAAGAGGTTCGGAGTCGGAGGGCAGAATCGAGGCGAGCGTATCGAGGACGAGTCTGGCGTGCTCAACGGAGATCTGCAATGCCTCGGAGATGGCCGCCGAGCCTACTCGATGGTTGGAGGATAACTCTAGAAGCTTCCGCTTCAACGGAATTAGGGTTTGCGCGGGGTCGGAGAAGATGAGGCGTGGGATTGGCAAGAGGCCGTGCTCAAAGGGCTCCCGCCTTGGGTGAATCACGGTGCTAGAGTCCCTCGCCAACGAAGAAGACGTGCATGGCTCCGTTGGTTCCGTCATGGCAACGCAGAGAAAAAATTCATGCGAGAGAGAGGGAAAGAGAGGGAGGGAGAGAGTTGCAGATCTTTGAATCGGGAGGAAGTAGAGGGAGAAGAGAGAGATGCGGGTGCGTTCTGGTGGGGTTCACCGCATGGTGTGTCGATACGTGGCGCCTTCTTATTGGTTCAGCAACAGTTACCATTTGAAGAAGCTTTGCCCTTTTACTCTGAAATGGCATTGATGCAATTGTACTTTGACGCATCCCATCTTACATGTGTTTTTCATTAATGGATGTGTTTTCAATTTTATCCACACTGCTTTTTTTCATTAATAATAACTCGTTCAACAATTTATGGAAGAAAAGTGTTCGTGATATAACTTTTCTTGTGATTAAACTCTATTGAAATTATACACTTTTAAGAAATGTTATTGAATAAGTTAAGGAATTTAAAAGTCGTATAATCTACAACAATATAAAAATAGTTGTTTTTTTTGTAACATAATGAAATTAATGAAAAAAAATGAAACATGTGGTATTAGAACAATAGTAGTTTATCTATATACTTTTTTTTCATTTGACTCAAATAAATTGTTTGCTTCCATTATAGAAACCAGATTTTAACTCATGAATAACATGTTGGACAAAATCTTGATTTGATCGTGTTTAAAAATGATTTTGATTCTTAAACCATGTTTTGAATAGGATGAATAAAAATCTCATGTCTATTGGATAAAACTATGGTTTGCAAACTATAATTTATACAAGTTATAAACACTAAGATTTAATGCACTCAAATATACTTTTTTTGCAAGTAGATATTGTCTCCAATGGAAAAACTTACACTTACAACTAATCTCGTTCAACCTAGTTAGTTTCTTAAGAGCTTTTACCTTTTTCTTTCTCTAGAATATAACTTATGTTTTCAAGTGTGCATACTTGGGGTTGGCGTTATCTTGTACTTGACATTAACTATTGAAACATCCTGAAGTAGAAAACAAAGGCTAACACTTGAAAACCCCAAGTGTGGATACTTGGGGTTGGCGTTATCTTATACTTGTACTTGGAATAATTGTCTTGGTATGAATCAACCATCACGTGAAGAGCCAACATATGTTGTTTTGGACACGTTAATTAATTAACAGGATGTTTATGGAAACCTTTTACTTATGGAAAACTTCTTTTATTGAGTTAAGGCTGTTGATTCATAATTAAACCTTGAACCATGCTTTCCTTCTATGAAATCCTAGGAAAAACGTGTAGGACTAGTGAGTCAGTTTTGGTTTATCACAATTTTTTGTGTGACTCGTGAATCTTGATGGGTCAACTAGTGAAGACCTTAAAGACAAAGGGTGCAGACTTTCATTTTTCTTTATTTCTAACTTATCAACTAGCCATTGTATTAGGTGGAGAACTATTTTATTATTGTCAAGAATTTTTCTTTCACCATGCATACACGATGGAGCCATCAAGATTTATGTGAATTGGTTTGATTTTTGTTTTTTCAATTGTAGAGTTATGGTTTCTAAGGAAGAAGGTATTACAGTGCACTAATTTTATTCGATAGAATGTATTATAGTGCACTAATTTTATTCGATAGAATGTATTATAGTGCACTAGTTTTATTCGATAGAATGTTCCACTAAATTGATAGTTTCTAATGGTTGAACCATTTACTTTGGAAAACTTAACCCCTTTATAACTTCTTTTTTTTTGTAATATTTGAACTTCATAATTATTTTCCATGATTACTTATTCTTGGTTAACCTACATGCTTATTTAGCTAGTGAACCACAACTTACGAATGTGAAAGCATCATTTTCAGTTAATTTATGTTGGGAGTTTCATGGTTAGAATTAGGAAAAATAGTCGAAAGAAATTTAATTCAAAGAAAAATAACCTTTGTCTTGCCAGATTTTAGTGTATTGTTGTTGTTGCTTGTTTTTGTTATTAAATTTCAATTATTTATTAACTTAGAGTTTATGGTTGACATATTAGTTTTATGAAATTATTTAACTATTTGTAAATAGTTCTACACAAAGATGAAAAATTTCATGGAATCTGATTAAAGAAAAGGTACTCTTTCGAATTTAGACTTGGATTATAGCTAAAGTTGTTACTAAAGAAAGCAAAGGATTTGGTTTTAGAGGATATATAAGAATTGCACTAACCAACTTTGATATTATATTCATTGAAACCAAAAACTCTCGAATTTCTTACCTTTTCTTAATCTAGTGATATTGGAGTGCTTCAAACACCTGTGATTTATAATCTCTCTTTGTACGTGCTCACCAATATGTCAAACCCAATAGAACGCCATTAACCAACCACAATTTGAACATGTAAACAAAATATGACAGCAGAAAAGAAGATTGGTAGGCAGAGAAATGAAGTTGGAAATTTAATTATTTTTTAAAATGGGTATATTTGTTTTAATATAAAGGAATGATTGATACGTGGAATAAAATTATTAAGTGATAATATATTTAAATGAGATTTTGAATGTTATAAAAATTTGAGAAACACATTGGTGATAAAGGATCTCCATTTTCAAACATGGATTATGAAATTACAACCTAGGCTTTGGAGTCAAAAACTAATAATGGAGGGAAGAAAAAGAAATTGTGTCATTGTAGTCCTTTGATAGCAACTCTGAACTTAGAAATAATGAGCAAAAATCAATTTCATTTCATGTTACCATTATGAAATAAAATAGCTTCACTACGTGTTCAATCTTATCCAAACCGTGGAAATTAATTGCACAACCTTGTGTCGGTTGCCATATTCATTTTCAATTTCTTCGCTTTCAAAAAGTGGCTTTCTGTTATTTAATGAAAAATAAAGCAAACTAAAAGGATGGAACATAATGTTCTAACATGAAGTAACCTTTGACATGAGTTCAATTCATATTAAAGAAAATTATATTATTTCTGATTTAAAATCTTGAAATTGTTGATGTAAACTTTGTAATTGTTTGTCAGTTGCCGTGTGCTCATGCACACCATGTATACTTCACTTTTGATTCTTTCAATAATAGTTCTAGTATTCTTCTTTTATCCTCTCTCCCACTCTCTACTAAATACATTTTTCTTCTCTGCATAATCATAAAACTAGTTGTGCTAACAATGGTATCAAAAGCTCAGGTTCGAAACCTGGTGGATCAACTCAAGACGATCAAGAAGATGGTCGGCGTAATACACAGTAACCTTCTTGTGTTTGACGGTAAAGGGTTTGATGATTGGTGTGTCAAAATGGATGTCATTTTTGGCTATCAAGAGGTTGACGAGATTATCAAGAAGGGCTTCAAGGAACCAATGAAGGGTGACTCCGAAGAAACAAAGTAATACAAAGAAAATAAGCGATTAGATTGCAAGGCCCGGATGCTCCTACATCAGTGTGTGTCGACTGTCATTTTTCAGAAGATTTCGAAAGCAGCTACGTCAAAAGAAGTATGGGACATCTTGCAGGAGGGATACAGTAATTTCGACAAGGTGAAGAAGGTTTGTTTGCAATCCTTGCAGCGGCAATACGAACTTCTGTGCATGGGCGAGCAAGAAACCGTAATAGACTACATTGGAAGGATTCAAGTTGTTGTAAACGCGATGAGATCATGCGACAAAATTGTGAAAGACATGAAAATAGTCGAGAAAATTCTCAGAACCTTGACATCCCAATTTGACCATATCGTCGTTGCGATAGAAGAGTGCAAAGATCTTGAAGTGATGAAGGTGGAGGAATTACAAAATTCGCTAGAGGCACATGAACAAAGATTAATCGAAAGAAGAAATGCAAAGCAAGAAGGGAATCAAGGTACGAACCAAGCCCTACAGGCTAGAAGCAATTACAAAACCAGAGGACGTGGAAATGGAAGAGGTAGAGGTCGTGCTCGGGGAGGTCAAACCGGAGGCAGAAACTCGGATGTTTCTAATCAAAACGATCGAATGTAGTGAAAACAAGAAGGACAACAAGAGAGGCAGAAAACACTCAAGAGGGAGAGGAAGAAGTAAAATTGATAAAAGAAACACACAATGTTATACATGCAGTAAGTTTGGACATTATTCATCCGAATGCTGGCATAACGAAGATGTGAAGAAAGGCTAAGGAAATGAGGAGGCTAATCTTGCGCAAGATGCAAATGATTTTGATTCTGATCACGTGTTATTAATGAGTACAATCAAAGATAATGAAAACGAGTGTAAGAATGGTGATTCTGCATGCGACAACAAGTGTAACGAGTGCAAGAACGATGATTTTGCATGCGACAGGTGTTGCAAGGTTGAACACGTTTCGTTAGATGACGAAAAGAATCATGCAGAAGATGAGTCCTGCTGGTACTTAGACACAGGTTGCTCCAACCATATGACTGGGAAGAAAGATTTGTTGTTAGATATGAATCCGAGTATAAAAAGCAGCGTGCAATTTGCCGATGATAGTGTGATCATGGCTGAAGGATCTGGAAGAATCATGATTAAACGTAAAGATGGACGACCTGCCTACATGAATAATGTCCTGTATGTTCCAAACATGAAGAGTAATTTGCTGAGTTTGGGGCAGCTTCTCAAAAAAGGTTATACAATGACTATGCGCCAGAAACACATAAACGTATTTGACGAAAGACAACGACTTGTTCTTAGAGCCCCACTTGTCAGGAACAAAACATTTAAGGTAAATATTAATATCATTGATGTTTAATGCTTGATTGTTGTTGATTCCAGGGAAGAAGCTTGGTTGTGGCACTACCGGTTCGGGCACCTGAACTTTAGAAGTCTGAAGTTGTTGAAGAGCAAATACCTTGTAAAAGGAGCTCTTGAGATACAGATTCCTAACAAAGTGTGTGAAGGATGTGCTGTTGGGAACCAGACCAGAACAAAGTTTAAACAAACCATGTACAAGAGAGCAAAACAACCACTTGTTGTTGTCTACTCAGATGTATGCAGCCCATTTGATGTGGAGATAATAGGAGGTAATAAATACTTATTGATTTTCGTAGATGAGTGGACTAGGAAGATATGGGTTTACTTGATCAAAGAAAAGAAGAACATATACTTGTGCTTTGTAAAATTTTGTGCTATGACGGAGAGGGAATCTGGTTTGCAGGTTAAGATTTTCAGAACAGACGGTGGAGGAGAATTCAACTCACTTGAAATGAAAGAGTTTTGCACCAACAAAGGTATCGTGCATGAAGTGGTAGCACC